AATTTTGAAAGAGATGTATCTTAGCTCTGGAAAAATGTTATTGAATAGGTTAATGCTGTTGTAATGAAATGCTTCTTTTAATTAAAAAAAAAGTGTATTGGCAAAAAATGTATTGGCATAACCAGTGAGTTATTTTAAAAGAATACCAAAAATTGTGCTACTAAATATATCTGATGACTGTTAACTGACAAAAAAAAATATAAAGCATACAAAACACACACAAGATTTCAAAAACTCTTACATATAAAGTTACTCTTTTCTAAAACAATCTCTTCATGCCAAAATTTGTAGTTATCAGTTTCAAAAATCAAAATACATACCCATCATCAGAACCACTGCAGAGAACACCTTCTCTCAGAGGAGACCATTTAACATGAAACACTCTTGCTGTGTGCCCACTGAATACTTTCAATGGTTGATTAGAGCTTGTGGCCACGTAATAGACACGCACGTTTTTGTCTTCACAGCCTGTAGCTATCATGTCTCTGAAAGGTCACCAAAGGAAGGTTAAAATATGACAGTTTTGATAAGTACTTGCTGCTAATAAATTTTAAGATGTGTAAAAGTTCTCATTTCTAAAGACAAAATTTTTCCTTCATATATATGAGTCATACATAGTTATGAAATTGCTTGTTTATAGAAATTACACTAATATGAAGTTTTCTGGGGTTTTTTGTCTTTTTTTTTTTTTTTTTTTTTTGAGACAGGGTCTCCTTGTAGCCCTAGCTGGCCTGAAACTGCTTATATAGACCAGGCTGGCCTAAATCTCACAGAGAGCCACCTGCCTCTGCCTCCTGAGTGCTGGGATTAAAGGTCTGTACAACCACACCTCTTTGACTGGCGATAGTTTCTTTACTCTTAGATAAGAAGTATCAGTGATCAGTGATGAAACTTGTTTACTTGATGGTCAGCAAATTATTATTATACACCCTAGACCATTATTACTTTTCTCTTTTATGGAATGCATATAAACAATGATTCCCCCACCCCAGAAGAGAGCTGGGAAAATTTGTTACACACCAGCTCTATCTCAGCAGACAGTGAGTCACAGTCAGCTTTCCAGTCCTCTTTTTGTGGCTTTTAATGCTTGAGAAACTTTAATTGCTAGACGCACCTAAGAACCCCATTGGACTGTAATATGATCGTTTACTATTTTTATTCATTCTCACATAGTAAGAGTAAAATGCTGCTTGTAGCTAATGATCAAATCTAAGATTGGAAAAAATTAAGGTTCCTAACCAAACTTACAGCAGTCATGCACCTGACAGAAAATGTCTAACTGAGGTACATCATCTGTAACCGTAATAAAACAGTCTCTTCATTCTAAAAAGGAAAAATTAGATACTACAGGGCTGTGATTTGTTAAGAATATTACACTAAACATATGACAGTGACTTCGTGGGGTTTACATTTAAAGTTGTGTCCAACTTGTGGCCTATCAGCCCCATGAAACCCAAGGTAGCTTTCAATGTAGCCCGATACAAAAATCTTAAATTTACCCTCAAATATGAGAATTTTTGTAAGTTTTTTGTAACTTGATTGAGTAGTTCTTGAGTATGAACTTTGTAGATGATGTCGTTTCTTGGTGTCAAAAGATTGAACACAATTATGAGGGTAACAGCCCATCATTGAGTAGTTCTTGAGTATGAACTTTGTAGATGATGTCGTTTCTTGCTATCAAAAGATTGAACACAATTATGAGGGTAACAGCCCATTTCTATCCATTTACACAATTAAAATTTAATTTATTAAGTGTAGTGAGGCAGATTTTATGGAGGAATTGACATAATTTTGAGGTTATTTTTCAATAAAAGTAGTTTTGATATCAGGGCAATATTGGCTTCATAAAAAGAATTTGGATGCCTTCTTTCATTTCTATTTTGTGGAGTAATTTAAATAGTATCAGTGTTACTTCTTTGTAGATTTCTGGAAAAATACTGAAGCCAGTATTACCCTGATACCAAAACCACATGGGATACAACAAAAGAGAGAGAGAGAGAGAGAGAGAGAGAGAGAGAGAGAGAGAAACAGGCCAACCTCCCTTATGAACATACTTGCAAAATTTCTCATAGGTCTTAGAGGATAATCTGCTACAGCCATTTCCTTAAACCAATACAATTTCTAGGTTTATTCTAAGCACTTATCCTTTAACTCAAAGATAAGTGTAGCTCACAACCCTCAACAAAGAAGCTCTTTTTTGCAACAGACAGAAACAATTACAGAGTCAGAATTGGACAAAGTGCAGAGAATAAGTGACCATGGAATGCCTCACTCTAATTAATATATCTAACATTCAAACCCTATACCTAAGGTCAGGGATTATCACACAAGAGGTAACAGAATTATTGTTAGAGCCAGAGGACCAAGATGCCTGCTGCTGTCTAGTGTCTTCAGACATTACAGGGAAGTTTCACCCATGAAATCTCAGCAATATAGTTTCCTAAACAAAAACTACATGACAGCACCAGTTGAGGTGCCAATACAGATGAGGAAAATTTTACAGGGTTGCACCTCTAGATGAAGAGCTGCAGACAATTAATGCCAGTTGAGAGAGGGAGAAAATGTCATGGAGAGGCTAGGATTGGAAGGAGCATATCTCAACACAATGACTATACACAGCAAACATGCAAAGCCAATATGCTAAATGGAGAAAAAGTCAGTGTTCCCACTAAGATTAGGAACAAGGCACGAGTATCCACTCTCTCCACTCTCCACTATTATTCAACAATGTGCCTGAAGTCTTAGATAGAGCAAAATGACAAAAGAAGGAAGCATGAATAGGAAGAGACAAAGTTTTTCCTTTTGCAGATGTGACTCTGTGTATAAGAGACCCTCAAGGCTCCACCAAAACATAAATATTTTCATCAAAGTGGTCAGAAACAAAATTAACACAGAAAATTAGTAGCTTTCAATGATAAATCTCATGACAAAGAAATCAAAATGAGTCTTATTCACAATAACCAAACACACGAAGATAAAAATACAGGAAAATAACCATAACCAAGGAAATGAAAGACATTACAATGAAATTTTAAGACACTTAAGAAAGAAATTGAAGAGGACACCAGTATATGGAAAGACCTCCAATGTTCAGGGATCAGAAAAACCAATATTGTGAATACCCTACAAAAAGCAAACTATAGATTCCATGCAATCCCAGCAAAAAATAAAATACCAGGAACTTTCTTCACAGACAAAGAAAACACAATCTCAAAATTCATATAGAGGCAGAAAAGGATAGCCAAAGGAATCATGAACAAGAAGAATTAGGTAGGAGGATTTACCATATCTGATTTCAAATTATACTTCAATGTCATAGCAATAAAAACATCATGGTAGTAACATAAAACCAGACAAGTAGATCAGTGGAATAGAATAGAGGACCCATGTACAACTCCATGTAATGACAACTATCCAATCTTGAACAAAGACTCTAAAAAGATACATTGGCTAAAAGATAGCATTTTCAATTGATGGTGCTGAGAAACCCAGATAACTGAAATTAAAGCCTTATCTCTCACCTTGTAAAAAACTCAACTCTGAATGGATTCAGGGCCACCAGATACAGTTACTGCTCAAGGAAAAAGTAGGTAGTACAGTTCAACTTATAGGCCCAGATAAGAGCTTTCTAAACAGGACTCCTGTGGTTCAAGAAATAAGATCAACAAACTAAAAAGCTTCTGTACAACAGAGAAAATAGCCAATTGAGTCAAGTAACAGCCTGCAGGATGAGAAAATGTTGCCAACTATAAATTTGACAGAGGATTGGTGTCTAGAATATTTAAAGAAGTATAAAAACTACACATACACACACACAAATTAAAAGATGGGCAATAGAACTGAATAGGAAATTCTCAAAAGAAGAAATACAAATGACTAGTAAATACTTTTAAAAGTTTCAACATCCTTTGCCATCAGGGAAATGCATATTAAAGCAACATTAAAATTCCATCTCGCTCCAGTCAGAATGTCCATTATAAGAAATAAAAATGACAACAAATGCTGTGGATGTGGCAAGAGGTGAACTCTTATTTACTGTTGGTCGGAGTGCAAATTAGTGAAGCCACTTTAGAAGTCAGTCCAGAAGTTCCAAAAAAGCATAAATAAATCTACCATATGACCTAGTTATACCACTCCTGGGTATATACTGATAGGACAATATATTACTACAGACATGCTTGCAAATCAATGTTCATTGCGACTATAACTAGGAAATGGAATTAATCTAGATGTCCATCAACCAACAAGTGGACAATAAAAATGTGGCATAGATACATGCACAATAAAATATTACTCAGTTGTAAACAAAAATGAGATTTGCAGGTAAATGAGTAGAACTGGAAATATATATTGAATAAAGTCACCTAGAGCCCAAAACACAAATGCCACAAATAGTCTCTACCATATGAGGGTCCCAGCTTTGGATCTTCTGTTTTAGATATTTACCATGGAGTATGTGTGGAAGCTAGGAAACTAGAAACGGACTTTTTGCAAGGGAGGGGGGGTACATTTAGGGAGAGGAGATAGCAGAATATAGGTGAAATGAAAGTAGAAAGGGGAAACACTTGGTACAGGAATGTTCAAGTCATTAGTAGAGTGATAATGTGAAAATGAGGGCCCAGAAAAAGGCTTAGCCAAAGCAAAGTGCACAGAAAGAAGCTGCTTGGTAAACTGTGACCTTACAATCCAAGGAAAAATATATGAGGGAACAGTCAATCATATTTGATATGAAAGAAAGGAGGAAGGAGATACTGAGTGCTAAAGGATCAGTGGAAGGGGATTGGGCGTGGGGGGTTAACCAAAACTAAGGATATTTGAAGAAGCATTATGAAATCCCACTAGTTTGTAAACTAATTAAAATAAATATTTTATTTTATTAAAAAGTAGCTTAAGGGGCTGGAGAGATGGCTAGTGGTTAGCAGCACTAGCTGCTCTTGCAGAGACCCCAGGTTTGATTTCCAGCATCCACATGATGGCTAACAACCATCCATAAATCCAGTTCCATGGGATCTGACACCCTCTTCTGACCTCCACAGGCATTGCACAACACAGGTGTACTTACATACATGCAGGCAACATGCTCATACACAAAAAATAAAAATAATAATTTTTAAAGTTGTTTAAACAGAAGTACCCATATTAGTAAACAATGCTGCTCCCAGAAGACTTGAGTTATTAAATGAAAATGCCAGTGGTAAGCATTCATTACCTCCCTTATGAGTCAAGGAGACCACAGAGGCATCCAAAACTCTACAGGCTATTGACATTGCTCCTGGTTGCCTACCATAACTAAATGGTAAGATCCTGAAGACACGACACACTTTGGGTGCAGGACACAGATAACTCAGTCTTGAACTGACCAGCAAATTCTCCCTGCTGGCTAGTTCTCATAGTACTGGAAGGTGCTGTGCAGGCTGCTGAGGGAGAAAGACATCAATGATCCTATCCGGTTCTGGACCAACCAGGCAAGATGTGCTCACTGGTGCAATAGTGCAAGGCTGTTCATGGGGTAAAAAACCACTCTTTTGAATGGACTTGCAGTGTGCACCACAGGAGGGAATGACAAGCCTGTACTGTAAACTCAAAACTCAAGACTAGGAAAGTCATATGCTCTAGGGAAGAACTTTATGTTTCTTTGTGAAATGGTCATGTCAAACTGCTTTCAAAATATCTATGTTTGCAGCCATATATTTGTGCTGCTCTCAACGTTAGTCCAGGAGGCTTCTGACTGCTGTGGATAGTGGTTAATGCAGAGATGAATTACTGTTCAAAGTGTTGAGAAAAAGGCAACTGTGAGTGCTCAACTGTAGACAGTACACCTGTATCAACACCTGGCATGACTCAGGGAATATAGAGAGGCCAAAAGTATGTAAGAACTAAAGGATGGGCAAAAGTGTTGTGAAGTGCTCTCCTTTGGATATGACTTACCTGTTGCATACAACAATTCACTACCATCTGCACAAGGCCTGTGCAAATTCAAGCCAGTTAAAAATTCCAGCATGGAAGATGTGTGAGGTGACATACACCTTTAATCTCACACTCTGGAGGTGGAGTAATGCTGATCTCTGTGAGGTTGAGGTCAGCCTGGTGTGTATATATTAAGTTTCAGGCCAGCTAGTGTTACAGGGATACCCTGTCTCACAAAACAACAACAACAAAAAAACTTCCACCATGGAGAGAAGAGGTTCTGAAGTCCCACCTGTAGCTGAGGAAAAGATGTCAGCTGTTGCAGGAGGGAGAGTCACTTTTCATTAGGAGAGTGGCCAGTTGTGGGGCCTCATGCCCCAGCAGATGTCTTCACATGCATGACCATATGGGCTACACTAACTGGACCCAATGGATCAAATAGGTAGGTAGGTAGAGAGAGAGAGAGAGAGAGAGAGAGAGAGAGAGAGAGAGAAAGGAGGACATGTATTTGGGAGAGAGATGTGATAAAGAATCCTAGAGTGAGTTGAAAGGGGTCAATGAGTGGTTGACATAATCAAAATACATAAAATTTCAAAGAATAAGTAAAAAATAAATTTAATATTAGTTTTTGTCCTAAAAACCAGGTAAAGCCTATCTACAACCAACATTAGGTGGAGTGAGTGGGCTTTCATGATGAGTAGAATATTAAATAAAGGGATGTGACATGAGTGAAATCTTGAGGGGAACGTCATCTGGTTAGTCCTGGAAATGGAAAGCCGATGTACCTGTACGCACTGAAAAAAGGAGCAAGGAGTGTCATGCCATGAACAGTCAGAAATCAGGGTAGACGGGGACTTCTTTATAGAGCTTAGTATGGATGGTCTAGAAAGTATTCCATTAAGCAAGGCAACCAAGGCTCAGAAAGAGAAAATCATGTTTTCTGTCATGTTCAGATCCCAGGTTATGAAGTTTCCATGAAGTGTATAATTTGGAGTGAGTGTAGGTCTAGACTATCAACCTCGAAAGAGGACCACAACAAGGGCAAAGAGGAGTTGGAGGGGCAACAGGACAGATGTGGCATGAAAGGGAAAATGAGGTATGTTGGGGGTGGGGAGTTAAAAGTACAGGATGGAGAGAAAATGGGAGAGAAGAACAGAAACATTTTAAAATTTGTTTGACAACATCAAGACGAAACCTATGCTGTGTATGCTAATCAAAAATTTAAAAAGAAATGTACACTGACTTCTACGAATATCCTAGAGAGATAATTGCTGAGGATCTTCTGGGCTCACTTCAGTTGCAAAGGGCAAAGGAGAACCAGAAGACTGGATTTTATCTACAACTAAAAAGGTGCTATCACTGAAAGTTCAAAAATAACGTGTCTTCTTCAATTAAATATATTACTTTATGCTTCATAAAAAGTTGTATTTTTATCCTACAGTCAATGGAAAAATATTCAGGGATTTACTTAGAATGGTGTGCACAGATCTGTTGTTTCTTTAAACCAAACCTAGGACTTCAGACAATCTAAGCAAGCAGTCTATCATGAGCAATATCTCCAGCCCTGTTTTTTAAATGTTTACTCTGATTGCAGCATAGAGAAGGTGAATCAGAAAAGAGAAAATAGTAATAAAGAGCGTGAGTTTTCGAAGGCCTCTGAAGGAATCCAGTACCAGCAAAATAAAAGTCCAAACAAGGGAGATAGCGATGGTTTAAATGGGAACTTGACCGTGCTGTTTGGGAAGGGTCAGGAACCTCCAGGAAGTGTGGCCATACTGGAGGAAGCATGCCACTAGGGGCAGGCTTTAGAAATTCATAGCCATGTCCCATTCCCAGTTTCTCATTCTCTTTCCTGTGCCTGCTTGAAGATACAGGCAGTCAGCTTTCAGCTCTCCTGTCCTGCCTCCCTGCTGTGATGGAGGCTTATCCCTCTGCAACAGTAAGCCAAATAAACTCTTTCTTGTATAAGTGGCCTTGATCATGGTGCTTTATCATAACAGCAGAAAAAAGGCAATGCAGGGATATTTGGAAAAAGATACCTAGCTGGAGAGAACAATCAGCATTGGTGATTGACTGCAATGAAATTGTGAGATGGTAAGGCATGGGAGGAAACACCAAAGACTCTGGCTTGCTTTGGTAGTGTTTACTGCCAAGGATGATTAGCCTCTATGACAAACGTGGTGGAGGAGGAATGGACTGGTCCTCAGATCATTCCATGCATTACCTAACAATGTGCTTATAAATTCTTTATCTACTGGGAAAAAAATGCACATTCTATGTGATTTGATTCTGAAAGAAAGCATAAGTTTTTAATATTTGTTTGTTTTCCATGTGTAGTAGAAAGAAGCATAAGACAAGTCATGCTGCTTTTGACAATATCTAAAGAAAGCTTGCTTTAAGATATTATTTATATTCTCTCAAAGGGAGCATTTAAACCAAATTCATAGAGATGCAGTCAGTTGAAGTTCCAATTATAGTGGGATTTTACTTGGATTTACTATTAAATATAAGCTGATTTTTACAGGATAAGTAGATCTCGAACAAATCTTTGCCTTTCAACTCTATCCACTGAAGTCTTACATTTTGGGAAATGATGCAATACAGAGGCTGTAGCTCGGGGTGAGGATGCTAGAAACCAAGGCAGAATAAAGCCATTGCATAGATGCTTAGATTATAAAAGGAATCACATTTCTATTGCAGAAGCCACCGCTAGAGTAAATAGACTTGTTTCCATTTTTATTAGATTTTATTAATTAGAAGTATGCTTTCCTAAGACCTTATAAAGCTATTTAGATTGTAGGAAATCAGTATTCTTAAATCATGTGAAAGCCAATGAAATAAAAATAACTACAACAAACAAACAATTGCAAGACTCCTCATTTGCTAGATAAGGGGAATATTAGCCAAGGACAATGGGTATTATCTGAGGGAATAGCTATAAACACTTCTTGTAAAAATCCATGAAATATAATCGTTATTTAGGAAAAATATCACTTACTTGTTGTTTTGGCTCCAATCACAACCAAATACTGCAGCGGGGTGCTTGTACTTGTGTAGAACTTTACCATCAATTGTTCGAATAATACTGAAATTAATTATAATATGTTAAAATGAAAAAAAAACACTCTAAATATATTTAAGTGAGCAGTCATGGCTGCAAGTTTCAAAGGTAATATTCTAGGATAAAAGCCTTACTTGCAACTTTAAGGAATATTTAAAAGTGCTCTGTATAGGTGATATTACCAATTACAAATATATTCCATCATAATATGAATTATGGTAATCTACCTAAC